GACATGTTCGTTCGGGCTTCTGTGTGGGCACCGTTTTGGAGCCTTTTTTGGGGCCTCTGGGGCCGTCTTGGGGGCCTCTAGGGCCGTTGTGGGGCTGTCTTGGGTCGTTTTGGGGCCGTCGTGGGAACCTTGCGGGGGCCTCTTGTGCCGATCTTGGTTGCCTCTTGGGCCGTCCTGGGGCGTCGGGAAGCCGCAGAAAGGCGATAACGCCAGCATCTGTCAAAAACCAACAAAAGGTTTCATTGATTTTGGCCTGTTGGGCCGTCGGTGTGCTGTCGCAGGCCTCTTCGAGCGTTTTGGTAGCCGCTTGGGTTGTGAAAAGGCCACCTGTGGCGTTTTGGGTTGTTCGTTGGGCAATTCGGGGCCCTCTTGGGCCTTGTTGGGGGCTTCTTGGGCTGCCCTGAGTTTTTTTGGGGGCCCAGGGACCCCCCATGCGAATATGGTTATTCCGACCCGGGACACCCCCCCTCTCCCCCCGCTTCCCGTCGAGTCAACTACGACGTTGTTCAAGCTTCGTTTGGTTTCGCCTTGGCTGGCGCGCTCGAGGCTTCGGTTCGGTTTCGCTGTGGCTGGCGCGTCGGAGGAGGAGGAGGAGGAGGACGAGGATGATGATGATGATGATGATGATGATGATGATGATGATGATGATGATGATGATGATGATGATGATGATGATGATGATGATGATGATGATGATGATGATGATGATGATGATGATGATGAGGAGGAGGAGGAGGAGGAGGAGGAGGAGGAGGACGAGGAAGAGGAGGAGGAGGAGGATGAGGAAGAGGAGGAGGAGGAGGATGAGGAAGAGGAGGAGGAGGAGGAGGAAGAGGAGAAGGAGGAGGAGGAGGAGAAGGAGGTGGAGGAGGAGGAGGAGGAGGATGAGAAGAAGGATCCCGTGACTTCGGCGACGTCCACGACGACGACGTCGACGACAATGTTGTTGTTGACGACGACGACTTCCACACGCCTAAGTCGGCGGATTCTACCCCATTCGATTACATTATCTACTCTACTCTACTCTTCTCGTCTCTAGTCTACTTTCTGTTACCGTGCCCTACCCTAACCTACTCTATTCAACTCCTGTTCTACCCTCCTCCTACCCTACTCTGCTCTGCAAGCCTTTCCTTTCCCCTGCTCAAATGGTATGCTCGTCTCTATCCCGCTCTGGTTCTACTCCGCTTTGCTCTGCTCTGCCTTCCTCGACCCCATCTTGCTATGTACTTCTGGATTTGACGACTGTCGTGCGATTACTGGGACGCCACTGGAATAGCCACTCACCACCCACCAAACCACCCCAACCTAACCCGAAGGGTCAGATTTACCCTCGATTTCTAGTGGGGGGTCCGGGAACATCGACAAAAACACGTATGGAGCCCATACCCCCTCCAACCCGAAATTCGGGTCTTCGGGTTGGGTTGGGGTGGTCTGGTAGGTAGTCAGCCACAGGACGCCAATGGAATAGCAGGGGACGCCATGCAGATACAGATGGAACCGTGCGGATACCAGAGGAAGCCTTGCGGATACATAGGAAGCCATGCGGACAACCGAGGAAGCCATGCGGAAGCAGGGGGGGCTGTGTGGATAGCAGTGGGAACCTTTCGTGTGCAGAGAAAGCCCTGCGGATAGGTTGACGGTAGCAGTATCAAACTTGTGGACATGTCCCCCGGGTGTTCCCCAGGGATGGAGCTAGGACTCTTCTGGAATATCCGTACGTGGGCCTGGGGGAGGCTCATGTTGAGGGTGCGGGCTCCCCTCGCAAGGGGAGGCCCAGAGACGCTTTAGCGTTCGCATTGGCGTTGCCTCGGTAACGATGCTCGGGCCACGGGACAAGAGAAGTCCGATGCAGCATCGTCCAGAGCCAACAGGGGCGGGGAAGGCCTTTTGCCCCGCAATGACAGGCGCGCTCGTTGCTTCTTTCACGCGGCTCGGTGTCTCCCAGGTTTCGGTGCAGTTGGTAGTGGGTCAGTCGTTCGACGGGTCCACGCCCTTGGCAGCTCATTAACAGGTCCGCGTGCGCGTTATCAGCACTGTGTATCACGGCGATGCCTATGTCGATTTCAGTGGGACAACATCGCGTGAATAGCCGAATTACGTACTTTCGTTGAGAGCGCTGCAGCTCCATTGAAGTCTTGGCATGGCCGTTCGCCTTCTGAAGCTTCCAGGCCTCGTCGTGCCCCCATGGCGGTTTCACAGGCTACTCGTGCTCGTCTGCCGCAGCAGTTGCGCGTCGAAGAGGCTCGCGACGAAATCAGACAGCTGCGCGACACTTTGTTTTTCGATCTCATTCTGTCGCCCCTGCTTTCGGCGAGGCGCACTGCGGGGATCTAGGCGGCTTCCTTTGGATTCGAGAACCGAAGGCATCCTCGGGCCGACTCGTATTGCTTTCAGCTTGTAAGCGTGAAACAGCACCAGGTGGTCTCCGTTGACGCTCAGGCTGGTGCTGTATCCAGGCTGCAGCTATTGCCAATTCCGTCCAGGGGCTTTCAGTGTGTGA